TTTTTTCCGATGAACCTTCAATCCACTGTTCAAACCTTTGATCTACTGTTCTGCCTTGTTCTGCCTTGTAGAATAGTTATGAATGTCAGAATCTACGAATGTTTTTTTAGCAAGGCTGGCGTCATTGCTTTGGCGGTGTAAAACAAAATTTCATTCAGCTGATTCGTGAGTCTTACAGTTCATTGCCGCTAACTGAACACTGAACTGACTCCCTATGTAATTTCGCAACAGTGTCCATTTTGACCTTACTGAAATGAAACTTTGCCCTTTATATTATAAACGAGTTATCGCATGTTTCGTCGTTCAAATATTAGGATCGATGTAACTAATGTTTTCAGAAGTTGACGAAGTCGCTGAAAGGCTCGGGAAATTTCTGCACCTTCTGAAAACCACCGTAATATTAATCTTTCATTTTGTTCGGCCCTATGCGATTACCTTTACAGAGTGGGACTATAAATATTATGCAAGGTAAATTTTTAGTTTAACACACTTCGCCAACATAACAAATGAATTTTAGCTGCACGTCTGCGAATCGAAACAAAAACTTAATCACTGCAATTATGGAGAGTTTTTGGTAAGTTACTATTTCAAATATTTACGCCACACGAGGCTGCACTCCACCCTCTTTCACAATCTGATCTGAGCTGTATGTTGGATTATTTGGCAGCGTACAGCTATTGCGATCACACAGCTTTCGGAATGATGTAATAAGTTTACATCTCTCTTTTGTCTCGGTCGAGACACTCAACTTCGTTCATTGCATTTCGGTCAATGTTAAAAAAGGACCCTGGACGGATTTCCACGAGTAGACCACGTAGAAAAAAAAATGACTTGTCACAACCAAAAGTTCATTAAGTTAAGTTCATTCAACCAAACCAGTTCAGTGGCCTTGACTTCTCATCCCTCCATAAATAATTTTCTGAGTATTTGGCTGACAGCCACCTTCATTTTATTACTTCATTGCAAAGCAATTCAGCACTAGAGCGACGTAAGCTTAGGTGATACCCAGCCAAGTCATTATAAAAGATAATTATATATCAACTACCTCTGATAGATAATTGAGAGAACGTTTGCAGGTCAATTCAATCTTAAATGTCTGCATTGTTAGGAATATAGAGTGAACTACTCGCAAGTACTATGGCTGAGTCAATTTATCAAAAACGTTTGGTGATAGTGCTTTTAACTGTTTGAAATCTAACCGCCTGTGATAAATAATGGCGATGGCAGGTTAGTACTAACAATGATATTATAATATTGAGATTTTTGAAAATTGACCGTAGTTACATTTACTTCCTATTTGTTTATTATTTTTCCTCCGCTGCTTTCTATTGAGTATATTTGCTAACAGGGCAGCGTTCACCCATTTTAAAGCACTCTACAAGTTATACTACATCTGCTCAGCCAGTATCTTCTAATGAACTTGCTATGAGTTACTAAAATTAGAGGTCTTCGGGAACTACTAAAATCGGGAATGTTCCCACTAAGTATTTGGGAATTGTTTAGGCCTGTTAGATGATCTTTAAATCCTTGTGCGAGTCCCATGAGCTTTGGTTTTTTCTGTGCCGCAAGACCACACATTCATTTTTACCTTTTGAGTGATGTGTCTTTGACAGTTGAAATAGGGGTTAATTCTCGTACAATAATCGTCATCGCTGGTCATGTTTGGGTTAGTCCTTGACCTTGCTTGGGGTCCTCATCGGGAAGTTTTTCTTTAGGGTTTCAGTTCTCGAAGTTTAGTTGTTATTGAAGTACTTTGTTGTTCATTTCGAATGTCTGGTGATATTATTTGGGTTAGCGTTCTAAAAATATGTTCACTCTGCCAAGGTCACTTGTCGCGTAACTCTAAACATACCTATACCAATAGGATATTTAAGAGCGTGTACTGAGAGCTAAATTTGACAAAAAGACTCAGTCTTTCAGATGAAGAGCCATTTAGAGTCATTGAGCAGAGAGGGAATGAAAGTTCTTGATCAAACTCCTGGTGCCTCCGTTTGTACGAGTTTCTTAAGCTAGTTAACTCCATCAGTCCAACAAACCAAACAACCTTTAATTCGCTAACGGGACTCTGATTGGCCTAAGCTTGGCCGAGACGACCAGCCAGGAAGTATTTTTTCACAGATATTCGACAGTTTTTCCTTGTATAAATTGCAACTCGTGAAAATGAGGTTAGGAATCCTTCTGCGATAGAGGGCCAGTCCTCTAACATCTTGAATTGAACGCGATGCTCAACGAATTTTCTGGAAATATGCTATTTCCGCAGTCCCAATTGTTCTCGCGGTTTAAAAATCTGGTGCCGAAATTACGTCTCAAGAACGAGGCCAAGAGCGAAGTCGCTCTCATCGTTAGAAAAAATAAAGTTCTGTGCTGGTGAAAATGAGCGAAAGTTTCACGAAATTTAACGTAATGGAGTGAGTAATAATTAGCGAGAGAGAGGCTATCAACTAAGTAATGGCGGCAAAGGAAACAAAAAAAAAGGTGTAACTGTCCCATTTCACGGTGCCTCCGTTTGCACGAGTTTCTTAAGCTAATTAACTCCACCAGTCCAACAAACTAAATAATCTTAAATTGGTTAACGGGACTCTGACAAGCCTAACTTTGGCCGAGACGACCAGCCAGGAAGTATTTTTCTCAGGTATTCGACAGTTTTTCATTATGCTAATTGCCACTCGTGACAATGAGGTTGGGAATCCTTCTGCGATAAAGGGCCAGTCCGCTAACATCTTGAATTGAACGCAATGCTCAACGAATTTGCTTGAAATGAGCCATTTCCGCAATTCCCAGTGTTCTTGCGATATTAAAAAAATCTGGTGCCGAAATTACGTCGCGAGAACGAGGCTGAGTAGGAAGTCGCTCTCATTGGTAAAAAGAATAAAGTGTCGTGTTAATGAAAATAAGCGAAACTTTCTAGAAATTCAATGTGGAAGAGAGAAAAGTAATTTGTGGGATGGAGGATATCAGTTGAGTGATGGCGGCAAAGGAAAGAAAAAAGGCAGAACTGTTCCATTTATGCATTGCAGCAATGAAGCAAATAAAACTAGCCGCTTCTGGAAAAGACCACAAAACGTTGTTGGATGCTTAGACGTACGCCTTCCTTAACATTTCAAGGTTCTTGTCCAGCGTCTGCATGCAGCCTTGCTTCAGTTGTTTTCATGTCATCATTTGAATCTTGCTTTTTTTTCTTCCTGATTCTTACGTAGCGGGGGCCTATTGTAATTTTCGAAACGAAACATGACGAAACGAATTGGAAATCTATAATTTGCAAAATAAAAAGCTTTATTTTTCGAAATGAAGATCTGTATTTGCGAAAAGAGAATACTCAGCCTAGCAGTATGACAAATGCAGCTTCTAAGCAGCGCATTTTAAAATGAGAAAATAATTCCCAGGTAACGCTTAAAAACTTTCCGCAGATATTGTTGACTTTGTGGTAGTTCTTTTAACTGATTACCATTGAACCGCCTGTAATAAAGGATGTCGATGGTAGGTTAGCAATAACTATGACAATAGTTATGGCAATTTATTTGTTTATTTTGTTTTCCTTACTGCTTTCCATTGAGCATATTTGCTAACAGGGAAACGTTTCACATAACTGAGAGGCACTCAACATGTTTTTTGCTTTACTTTATTCTGCTCACCCAGTATTTTCTAATGAACTAAATAATAAAATTAGTAAATACCTACAGAGAAAGCACTTTGACATTGTGCTTACAGAGATTCGGTCACTCTATTTTTGAATAAAAGTCGCTGTGACTAAAATTTTAATGATCGATTTCTATAATTTACAAAAAAAAAAGGGAAAAAATATTCCCGTGGCCTCCAGTCTCGTAACTCCACAATTTATTTTCTAAATTATTTTCGTCATAAGAGTTAAAAAAAAACTAGCTCATCCGGGTCTTCCAAATTGGTATTACTGTCCATCAAAATACCAGTGTTGTAGCCACCCAAGGGAAGACCTTTGCCCCTCGAGCAACGCTTCTCTCGTGCTCTCCAAACCTTCTGCGTGTATTCATACTTCGATATATGCACAATTGCCATCAAAAAGTTTGCCCGTGAAGAAGGAGAATGTTAAATAAATATATTTGATCTAGAACAAACCAGGGAATCCATCAAACACAATGTTGAGGGGGGCATTTCAAGTGTATGTGGTTGTACATGCTCCACCAACATGATGTTGGACAAAACATGTTTGATCAGGACTAGAGTATACCGTTGTGACTCAGACTTAACTATCCCTTACTTGGCTGAGCTCAGCGTTCACCTTAGATTCTTCAATTTCCATCTGATCATGTCAATGATCTTTAAAATAAATAAATTTACATCCAGCTCACAGGCAGAATAGAAAAGAGAGTCTCTGCCTGAACTCAAACCAGCACCTTTCTATCCCAGGTCCAACGCGCCAAACATTAGCCATAATAACGATAAGACCACAAGGTCACGCGTAAATATTCGTTGATTTTACCTTTCATATGTTGCATAATGATAAATGTTTATCGACTGGTTTACAATTATTGGTAAACAAGCTAACTGGAAGCTGGTCATCATGTTGGTTCGTAATAATCCCGATAAGTGATGAACCGATGATTGCGATCATTTCTTAAACCGCATTATCGATGTCTCATCCCTCCACGATTCATTTTCTGAGGTTAGTGGCTCATAGCAACTTTAAATTTTTTCTTTATTGCTGCGCAAAAAAAAATCCAGTAGTTTAGCTCGGAAACAGTGCAAGGTCAGCGAATACCAAGCCAAATCATTATCGAAAATTGTTATATATTAATTACATCCGATACGAACTTGAGAAAATGTTTCGTTTGCAATCAAGGAAAGATTTAGAATTGCCCCTGTTTCTGATTTTATCCAGCCTTGTGAATAACCGCATTATTCATAGAGCCAAAGAGTGCTACTCACAATTTCTGCAGCCGATTCAGTTTATCAAAAATGTTTGGTGGTAGTTCTTTTAACTCTCTCTCTCTCTCTCTCTCTCTCTCATGCCCTTTACGCCTAACAGGCATGTAGGGCAGCAACGTGTTCCCTCCACATCTGGCGATCCCTTCCATATACGCTCTCTTATCTGTTCTGATCTTTCTTTTGACACGCCTGTTGGTTTCTGTGTAAGCCGCTCTATACTTCTCTCGAAGTCTGGCTGATTTGCTGTCATTTATCTTCTTCTTCAGCTGGCGTCTCTCCTCGATAGCCTGCCACGTGTCTGGTGTAATCCATTCTTTCTTCTTTCTCGTCTTTTGCATCCCCAGACAGGTTTTACTCGCTTCATCAAATATGTTCTTCACTTGCTTCCACTGTTGATTTACAGTGTCTTCCTCTTCATCAATGCTTTGCTCGTCTATGTTACTCAAGGCTTGGAACCTGTTCCTCAGCTGTAGGACAAAAGCATTCTTAGTCCTTTGGTCTTGTAATCTGCTGAAGTCATATCTAGGAGTGCGTTGTTTGTTTGGTCCAGCTGCTCTCAGTTTCAATCTCACCTTTGCAGTCACAAGATGGTGATCGCTGCTTGCATCAGCCCCTCTTCTTACTCTTACGTCAAGCAGGGAGCGGCGCCACATGCTGTTAACCATTAGGTGGTCTATTTGGTTTTGATCCCGCCCATTAGGGGATGCCCAGGTGAGTTTGTGAATGTTGCGATGCGGGAATAGGGCTCCACCGATGATCATGTTATTAAATGCACACCATTCTACCAGCCTCTCTCCATTGTCATTCTGCACTCCACATCCTCTTCTTCCCATGACTCTTTCAAAATTCAAGTTGTCTGAGCCCACCTTGGCGTTAAGATCACCCATCACCAGCAGGAAGTCTCTACAATGGACGTTCTCAAATGTTGCTTGCAGCTGCTCATAGAAGGCCTCTTTATCTCTGTCGTTGCTGTCATTTGTAGGTGCATAGCACTGTATGATGGATAAGTTAGACTGCCTGCCCTTTAATCGTGCTTGAATAATCCTGCTGTTTACTGGTTTCCACTCCATTAAGTACTTTTCCATCCCTTTCTTCATGATGATTGCAACCCCCTCATGATGTAAATCATCCTCTCTCCCAGAGTAGAGAACTGTCTCTCCTGTTGTTGTCTTCATTCTCCCAGATTTTGTCCATCTACTCTCACTTACGCCTAAGATGTTCGAAGATTGCCACCTTGACGTGGTGGGGGTGCTTGCGCGCTCCAATGAGCCCGAGAGCTATGTTGGCTGGACCTCTCGAGGTCCTGGTAGGGACACCCATGCCAGACAGGTCAAAGGTTAGGGGCCAGACAAAGAGCAATCTACCGGCCCTCCAGGTTTGGGGGTTTTGCATAGGGCTAACAACCCTATCATGTAAAAAGCTTTTGTTCTTTTAACTGGTAGCCATTCAACCACATGTGATAAAGGATGTCGATGGCAGGTTAGTAATAACAATGACATAAATTATTGAAACTCGTGAAATCTGCCATATTTACATTTTCTCTTAGTATCATCATTTTTTCCTTGCTGATTTGCACGAAGCATATTTTGCTGTAACAGGACAACGTTTCCTTCTATTGGCAAGCACTTTACATGTTTTATCCTTCCCTATGATCTGCTCACCCACTGTTTTCTAATGGTACTGTACTTTCTTTCCGCATAGCACGTTGGTGATGTCGATCTCACAGTCGTGTTTCTACCTCATTTATGCACAGCTCATACAAGGTAATTCAATGTAGACGTAAGAGCATTTATGACGATTACAATGAATAAAGGGAAATACATTTTTGAATTAATTATGTACTTAATTTATTTCATTGCACTGTCCATATTACACTGCTAAGAAAATAATTATGATATTACGCGAACTCTGATCTGCTAACTCGATAATTATGTGGATCAACCTTATTTGGCTCGTGATAACAAAACCGAAGAAAATAAACAAAACAAAACAAAAATGAAAAATACTTGTTTTCACAATATCCTGCGTAGGTTATTAAGCCAGTAAACTGATTGAACAAACAGTCTACTGCTAAATTGAGTTTTCAACCGCCGAAAAAATTGAAAACGTTGAACCTTACCCTTCACCTAATTTTTAGAGACAAGAGAAGAAAAGACGAGCGCTTTGCTTCGGTAATTGGTTTCTTAGATGCTGATTACTATGCTTTAAGTGGTAGCGTTCCAAGTGGAGTGAACAAGAAACATGGTTTTGAAGACACAGTTGAAAAAAAATTGCCACCCTTTGTGATTGATCTCGTAAACTATCCCTTCAAAGTAATAAATAGCAATCCATTGCCCACGGGGTTGCACAGGATGACGATCGAAGAATAAGTAACTATAAACAAGTACGATTTATTTCAATAAGTTGTGATCACATTCATTTACGAGAGTGAAGAGCCCACTAAAAGTTGCCTCGCTCCCAACACTTAGACTGATCAGCATAGTCACTTTAATACTGAGAAATGATGTAATAACTTTGCATCTTTCTTTTGAGAAAACCTCGGCCGAGGAGAGTCTCCTCTCCACGTCAACTTTGTTAATTCCACTTACTCGATGTTAATTAAGTACAATGGATAAGCTTTGTGGAAGTACAACGCATCGATAAAACACAACTTGCCATAATCAAAACCAGTGGCCTCGGGTCTCGTAACTCCACAATTTATTTTCTAAATTATTTTGTAAATAAACCCCTTCAGGCGGCTAATTAAGTCCACGGCTGAGATATTGACCGAAAAATGAATATCCGGCCGAGAAGCGAAGCTTCCAGGGAAAACTTAAGATTTTGAGGACAATCTCTCAGCCAAGGACATTATCAGCCAACATTTAGAAACGAGGAAAGAATCCCCAGGTGACGCTAAGAACTCTCCGCAGATATTTTTGACTTTTCAGTGATTTTAATTCAATTTTCCTCGAATATTTTCTTACTTTGAAACTCATTTTTTTATACGACTAAGTTGTCCGATCGCTGGGCGCTATCGATTTCTTTTCCTGCATTTTTAATCAAATTTCATGTTTCATATATTACAATTTATTGTTCAAATTGGAGAAAATGAGGTATCACCCGATAGGAAAGTACACGTCGCTTTAGTTAACTTAGTGTGATTGTAATGACATGATACTTGGGGACTATAAATATTATGTAAGGTTTTCCATACATTCCGCCTGTTTGTATTCTCTTACGTCGCAACTATATTTGGGCAAAACTTCTTTTATATCACAAAGAGCCCGTAATGTAACCACATCATAACATAATCTCAAAGCTGGATCATGGTTAATATAGCATCATACTGCTATCACGATCACGATTTTTACGTTAAAATAGACATTTGCGTTCATGATTTCTGTAAGTACTTAAGAGCGACGGTCAGGAAATATCGACCATTGAGTGGCAAGAGTTGAAAAATGAATTTCGCTTATTTTCTGACTATAAAAAGCTACTAAGAATAGAAGAAATGTATTTCTTTTTCTTCCGGAGCGCTTTAATTCTGAGAAAACTGAGAAAAACGAATTTGACGATCCCGAAAGGTCCCGCAAGCAAGTGTGAAATTGATATTTGAAACTGACTTTTGGTCTTCAAGGAAAAACGATTCAAAGGATCATGACACCGAATTTTGATAGAGTGAGTGCCGTACTTTCCCAGAAACTATATGACTTATCTTTATTGTTGTTCATAAATAGCAAACAACGCGCAGGAAAGTGCTGTATTTTCAAACGTGAAAAATCTCGCAAATACCTCCTTAATTCAAATATTTTTTTCACTATGTAACATAATTCAGATTTCCCTTTTAACTATGTCATTAGAGGGATTTAAGGTTGTCCTTGATAATATGTTAGAATCAGCATGGGGTTTCTTTACAGCGCCTCACGCGAAGGTTTTGAGATGACAGTAATTCATTCAAATTTTTTACAACGGCTGAGTAAACAATTCTTGTTGCGTGACCGTAACGTCAAGCGGAGTTTTTACACAGCGAAAGCGTACTGAAAACGATTCTGGTGTGAGCTTTTGGTCCTTTTTTATTGAAAAAAAGGTAATCGGCCAAAGAGAGGTTATTTTTTCTCATTGTTAAGGTGGAAGTTTTCCTTTTCAGTGTAAGATGTTTTCCCTGATAAGTATCAGGATGTAATTTGATTAGCTCTCGGCTAACCTGTTTAACTTTTATACTTGTTTTTTTCGCTTCCTTTGGTTTCAGAAGAATCGGAACAGAAAGACAAATATCATAGATACTTTTTAAATTGATATTTTCTTCAATTGTGAGGATTCATTTTCATTATTTGTTGAAGAAATGACAGAGTTGGCTAAAGCTCGAAGCAGTTTACTAGCCGTAGTAAATTGAATTAGTCAATTAAATGCAAAGAGGGAAAATTTAATTAGCGAAGTTGGAGTGAATTTGTTTTGCCAGTTTTGTGTCATCATGGACGTTAAGTGCTCTTTTAGCTCCTTAGTCGGCGGTTCTTGCTCTTATGACCCCAGAGATAGGAGCAGATCAACTGAGGTTATTCCATTTCTGAACTGCAAAAGAGACATCGCGGGTCATAAGTCTTCCTTGTCAATAACTGACGTAGAAACCGAAATCGAACTTATTTTGGGAAGAGTATCTACATCCTTTTCTTCGGAGTTAGACCTTTCGGAATTAACGATTTGTCCCCGGCACCGCTCATCCCTTGGTATTGGGTGGCGTCGAGGATCGAATCTGTGCCGAGTTCCTCCACCAATCTCGAAGCACGGCGGACAAGCCCCAAAAAACGTAAAGGCAGAAAGAGGACTTGGCAAAAGTGCTTGTTATTTGATATGGAAGAAACTGGGAATTTTTATTCCAGTTGGTTCAGGTCGCTTTTGCTCTAAAGGAATCTTCTAGTAAAAGAAGAACAGTGATTCTGTTGAAATAAAGTGTCCAAATTTCTCCGTGCGACTTTGTTTGCGAACGAGAGGCAAGTTGATGTATGCAAATTTCACGTAAATGATTAGCCAATTTTGTGACTCCGACCACAAAAACCGATATTCTAATTTTTCTAAAAAATAAAAAGCTTTTGGCGGGAACAATTCACATCAGGTATCTTATCTACCTAAAAGCTATTTATGGACAAAAAACCAAAGAAAGCGATTTTTCAACTCTTGCCACGAAATTAAGATTTTGGTCGATATTTCCTGACCGTCGCTCTTAATCTCTTAACACTAATGAACACGCATGTAACAAGTAAAGACGCTTACTCTCGTTCATCTATCAATTAATCAGATGATATCTACTTACAATCTAGTTAAGCTGGTCAGGTTGTCAAATATTCCCTCTGGCAACGTTTGGAGCTCGTTGTCCGAGACGGCACTATAGTTGGGTTGAAAAGAAGAAAAAAATCAGAAGTCCAGATTAAAGCAGTCTATTCTCTCTTCAATATTAGGTAGACCAGCTTCTTCTTCGTCGTGATCGATTCTAAAAGCTGCAGCTATTCATTCATTGCCCGCATGTTAAGTTACGACTAACGTTCTTGCTTCTACTCATTATTCCAATACTTATTTCATCGATTACTCTGTTGGTTATTGTCAGGCTTGAAGAACAGGTAAGCACGAACAAGTACAATTTATTTGAATTAATTGCCATCAGATTCCCTTACGATAATGGCGAGCTCACTAAAATTTGCCACGCTCTCGACTCTTACTGTCTCACGGTTGGTATAGTAGCGACCAGGCACTATTCGGTAACACGAGTTTGATTCCAGTCGATGCAATAATATTTGTCAAGTCTTCTTTTTTTAAAAATAGACACACGGTCAACTTGCAAGGATCGCACCATTGGTCAAAGTTTAATCATTTTCATTTAATTGGTCAACTTGCAAGGATCCTGCCGTCAGCTATTTATCATCCATTGGTCAAAGTTTAATCATTTTCATTTAATTGTAAGCAATTAATAGACCGCTCAGTTAATTCAGTCCTACATAAGGCTAAAAAAGCAACCGACATGTTACTTTTCTTTGATGACACTGATCAGCACTCGCTCAAAGGATAAAAAATATGTTTACTATACAATACTTAATAATTTTTGATAAGGTTAAAATTTAAAATGCTTATGTTATGAGAGAGAAACAACAAAAACGCCATACGAAACGTATCTGTTGATCAATGTGGCAGCTTGTTTAACTAAAATGTTTACGTCCTTCAAATTTCACTTTTTAGAGTGTGTTGTTAATGAAATTTGATTTGAACTATGGTCAGACTTCTTTTCAAAAATGCAAACAGCCACCTTTGTTATCTGTTAGGAAGCAGTGTAAAACAAACTCGCTTTCTTTATGTCCTCAGCGCAATCAGAGTTTAAAAACTCAACGACTGAGTAGCATTACAGATGCAGCTTTATATGAGCTGCTCATTCAGAACTTAGAAAAGAATCATTAAATAACGCCAAGGGTTTGTTGCAATATCGTTTAGTTGCCGTATCGTATACAAAACCTAGCTTTCTTCACGTGGTCTTTGTAATTGTGAAGATCCTAGAGGTTGCGGCTTACTCAAACCCTTAACAACTACAAGGGTGGCGCGGTGCGAGGTGACAATAATTCAAACTCCACTTGGTAGATTTAAACTGATTTAATGACAGATCAAAAGTGTAGCGATAAGTTTGGTTTAAAAAGCCTATTTATTACTTCAACATAAACCGAGCTGTTACATGTTCAAAAGACCGAAGAAATAACTGACTACATTCCGAATGCGCATATCGTTATATAATCATGAGTGGCGCGCTCATAGTGATAAGTTCAACTGCTAGTACCTATGATCGCCGCTTCTATATAGTATTTCACAGTATTTCGTCACAAAAAGTTCAAAGGTTTAGATCAATCGGTTGCGTTTGACAGAAGGGTCATGAAGATAGCGAAGATCGAAGGTAGTTGACCTTGGAAGCAGCAGCAGTAGAAAAAACAGTAGTAGCTGTAGGTGCAGATTAAGTTGTAGAAATGAATAGACGTGATAATTCTCGTGTCATATAAATTATAATCAAACGAAGGTACAAACAACAGTATATTACTATAAACAAAAATAACTAAATGAGAATAAAAGAGTAACGATTTAAAAAGAAACCAAAACAATTTGTAAATAAGATCGTTTTGCTATAATACTGTAATAATGACACTTAGTTGACTAAACGAGACGTTCTATGACCGAAAAAAAAAGGCTGATGATTCTATGACTTAATTAAAACAAAGAAAATACTGACGCACTTTGGTTGACGACTCGTACCGAAAAAAAAGCAAAGACAATTGATATAGCGGTAGCTTGGATCCTACTGATCGTAACAAAGGTAACGGTGTGGCTTCAACCAACTTATAGGTTATGATACGTGAAGAAAGCTATGGCGTCGCAAAAAGTAGCGCCCTCAATAAGAACTACTTCCTGGGCAGCAAAGACTCCAAAGTTGTGATACAATTCTAGGAAATCTCCATTTCTACCGACGCCTTCATTTTAGATAACGTAATGGACTACACAATAATTGAATATAAATCAAAAGGAAGTTTGTAGGAAATTAGTAAAAACAAACAGCGTTTCAAAACTAACAGTCTTATGTATCCATCGTAATCAGAGTTTGCATACTCAACGACTGAGTAGCATTCCAAATGCAGCTTATTGGCAGCACATTCGGAACTCAAAAAAGAATACTCCTGTAACGCTAAGGGTTTGCTGCAATATCGTTTATCCGTCAAACTGGCCCTCAGGTCGACCCAGCGTTGGAATGAAAAAGTTTTGTTTTTGTTTCTTTTTTTTTCTACACTCTCGGTCGTCTCAGTGACTAGTGCATAGTGAGGACTGTGCTGTGGCATTTAATTGCTTGCTTTGACTCGGGTAGAAACACATGGAAGACGAAACGTTAGTACTGTTAGACAACATTTTTATTTAAATCACAACTGTAATGAAGTTGGCAAACGTAATTCAACGTACAATGCTTGAAGATTGCTGAGGTTGGCAAGCAAGTCAGATGGTAGCTCCTCCAAATGGTTATCACTCAGGTCTCTGTAAAATGCAATGGCATTTACAAATAACGTGTACAAGGGGAAATATCCGTGATCAACTCTGACTTTATTATTCTCAGGTGATTAGCGTTTACAAGAAGACTGAAAAATTCATTACATAGTTACAAGAATGGATAAAGAGGAGAATTTCTTCTATAAGGGTGATGAAACTCTTACATGGACCAAACTGTCCCTATAAACTTAGCAATCATATCAATAAATATCAAAATCGAAAGGCGCCCTTGCATAGTAAATTGCAAATAAGTCAATTTATTTTCAAATAAAAGTGTGCGTGACCAGAAACTTTACCAAATAATTTCTACTGTTAGAAGATAAAAAAAATTTCCAAGGACTTTAAGGTTCTAAATATTCCTGGATGAAGGCTGCTTAGTGTGTTGTTGTGGATATACCTGTGATTTGATTGGAACGATTGTCAAAGGCGTTGATACTGTCCGTGTATTGATTAACGCCTCCATATGCAGGGTGCGGAGTGTAGAGTGACTAGTGCATAGTGAGGACTGCGCTGTGGCATTTAATTGCTTGTTTTGACTCGGGTAGAAACACATGGAAGACGAAACGTTAGTACTGTTGTCGGATCTTTCCGTCCTTAGGGCTCGACAATTTATGATTACACAGCCAAGTCAAACTATTATAACTTCTAACAGAACGTTGACAAAATCCATCCACAAAATATGACTTCCTATGACACAGTTCATATATGAATCGACAGAGAGTAAATTCCCCGAAAGTCACAATTTTTCCTGCTAAACTAGGAGCTACTAAAGGAGCAGACCCAATGAAAGAAAGGTAGGTAAAGTTCACTCACAGGATATTCAAATGTGGATTGCGATCAAATAGGGTTGGAGGAAGGTCTTTCAGCTTGTTTTTGTTTAATCTCCTATTTAGCCAGAACAGTCAAGAAGATTAGCTGTTAGCTTATCACAAGAATAACAAAGATTTATTAACGAAATCATGACCTTAGGCTCCCTGAACTTTTCCCTCTAGTCTGAAGTTCTTTTTCCTCTATGGGTTCAACGTCAATATGAACCAAAAAGAAGTCTGTCAGGACCATACCTACTTTTTTTGACCACATCATATCGATCGTGACATATTATAAATAAATGGTATGACATGTTTCTTTTTCCTTACATAACTAAGACAACATTTTTATTTAAATCACAACTGTAATAAAGTTGGCAAACGTAATTCAACGTACAATTCTTGAAGATTGCTGAGGTTGGCAAGCAAGTCAGATGGTAGCTCCTCCAAATGGTTATCACTCAGGTCTCTGTAAAATGCAATGGCATTTACAAATAACGTGTACAAGGGGAAATATCCGTGATCAACTCTGACTTTATTATTCTCAGGTGATTAGCGTTTACAAGAAGACTGAAAAACTCATTACATAGTTACAAGAATGGATAAAGAGAAAAATTTCCTCTATCATGGTGATGGACGATTTTCTCTTAAAGAAGCAATTGAATTATCCATTCATCTTTGCTTCTTGGTATATTTGGCAGCTGGTTGATTAGCTATTTAATGCTTTTATTTTTTCTTGAAAAATTATATATAGTGTCCTCTCTTGTTGGTTTGTTTGTTTTTTTTTTTTGTCTATTATTTGAATTTATTTGACTTGAATGATTACATGTAATATACGCACAAGATTGTCGTTGTAGCTGGTACTTTCCATGGAAATGATTTAAGTTGTTTTCCACTGCAGTTAACTTCCACTGACTTGCATTCACAGGGTTCTGGACAATCAATTGTAGTATTTGATGCCAAATAATTGCTTCTTACGGTTTCAACAGCTGTTCAGTTAAATTTACATACGTGATAAGTATTTCCAAAATAAGAAACAAAACTACGTACTGATGACTGATGATTACTAAATATATTTGGTAGAGAGGGCTAAATTATTCGCCAATAGTATTTACGAGAAGTGAAATGTCATCGCTTACCCAATAAAAAAATAAACACGAACATGGTTTTCTTTGTGACAGACATGACGCGAGAATCACCTGAAAGCACAATAGACAAGATCAGCGCTTAAGATCGAGGCAAACAGGCATGGCAAAGAAATCTATGTGGAACGCATTTTCAGTCTTGTGGTCAAAGGGGAAATAAACTAAGGCGAGCTTGGAAAAATTTGAAGAGCTGAATATAACGAAATCTTGAAAAAGCAACTATAGGCGTACACTAAGGGACCAGTCTTTATTTATCAACGGTAGGGGAAATGAAGGGGGAATCAGTCGTCGCCAACAGAGTATAAAAATAGAACTGTAGAAAATTGACAGCCGATTGACTTTTAATGAGGGGGACTCATGCAAATATGAAAATGACTATTTATCGCCGAGGGGGGCCGGGGAGGGGGGAGGCAGAGGATTTGGTGGACCACGTAGGGGTCAACAGAAACGGAGGGGGATCAGTCGTCGCTAACAGAGATTAAAAATAGAACTGTAGAAAATTGACAGACGATTAATTTTTAATGAGGGGCACTCATGCAAATATGAAAATGACTACTTATCGCCGAGAGGGTGGGGGGGGCAGGGGGGGCGATTATCTGAGGAAATCACGTGGTGTTCAGCAGAAGCGGAGGGGGGGGGTAAGTATCGCCAACAGAGTATAAAGATAGAACTGAAGAAAATTGACAGCCGATTAAGTGCGAATGAATGGGGATCATAAGAATATGACAATGACAATGAGCTTTATTGCTGAAGTCCGTCATCAGTCGTGCCTGGTCTGAAACAAGCTCAAAGAAAAGCATTTGAAGCCTTTTGAAGCAGTCTGTGTTGACGTTACACTAAGACCTGCGATTCAAACGCACTATAAAAGTACTTGTGAACAACAAAAAACCGTCAGATAATTGTCGTTTTTGTCATTAATTTTAAGTTTTAAGCAGATGGTGAAAAACAATTACCCGCTCACAAAACGAGAAAAAATTGCTGCTCAGTTTTAAAAAGCCTCACAAACAATTTCAGTGATTATTCCTTTAGTCACAGAGATAACGAAAATAACTTTCTTATTGCAATATATATATATATAATTATTTTACCAAGAGAGAGAGGTTGCTAAACATCCGTCTTTTGACAACCGGCCGAATGTTAAAGGATGAAGTAAACTGTAGCACGATGCCATAATGATTACATTAGTTTCTGTTAACATGTTAAAAGCTACGCACAAACAACCATTGCTTCTTCAATTTCTGTTATTCAAAACAAAAAAACAGGATGGATTGATTTTTTCAGCCTAACAACAACATAAAGTCAAAAGCATATGGTGCGGTAACAGTTACTATGACTTGATCACTGAAAAAACTATAACTGGCTGTAACTATATATTTTTTACCAATTGTTCTGAACTATTAAATGTACTACTTGCAGTACACAAATGGATGGATCAATTATTTACCTGAACTACCCCATCGAGGAGTCTCTGGTTTCTTGTAAGCCACAATATTGCACCGTTAAAGACAGAATTGCTAAAATAACGTTATTTGAATACGTTTGCAATAAACTGCATGAAAACGTGGATTTGCATGCATAATTACCGATAATTATGTGGTGGACGATACATAATTAATATCCCGGGGAACTGAAATTGTTTTGAAACTTCCAAACTTTTCAGGAATTCATCTTTCTTTAAAAAACTGAACTGTTCATTTGACTTCTTGTCTCTACTTATAGCAAGTATTTGTGCTTTTTCATCTCTTTTTCGTTCAATATGTTCAGTGCCTGTCTAAAATGACGTTATTGTCATTGTTGTTATTTGAAAACTAGCGATCTTTATCAATTAAAGAAAATTCAAATGAAACACGTAGGATGAAATATTTTTAATTCACAAAGAAATTGTGAATGGTAATACGACTGAAGCTGAGGAATACCATTCATTCAGAAATAGATATTAGTAAAGGATGTATTTCCGAGGAAGTGAAAAGAGTGCGCATGCCCACAAGAAGCTAAAGCTTGGCACGTGGCGTTTCGATACATAAATTTCTCACCAACACAGATTTTTCTATGCTGCCGCATTTAACAAACCAGATCTCACAGACCGCCCAAAACTAATGTGGGGTTTTGTTTAAAAATACATATTTATGTCCTGATGCTTTGCCGTAGGTGAACTTTCCATTGCAAATCTAGCTCTTTTTAAATTATTTAGGCTAAAAGGTGAATTTCACATACAGTTCATGTTTCTTTTCATGTTTCGTGTAACAGTTTGGTCATATCATGTAATATCTAAATTTTTCAAACTTCTCAGATTGAGCCTGGGCTGCTTGTTGTGTCAAACTTACCAAATACGTCAACATGTTCAGATCTTTTTAGAAGAATAAGACAACCATCAGCCTTGCATGTTACGATTTATGTACTTTTATTCATGGACGGGGAGCTGTTTATAACCGTTTTCCTTAGGCACTCGGTGAATCATACACGAGGGCCAGATGACAGCTCTTTATAATAAACTAGCACAAACATATTTCATGCATTAAGTAATAATACGAACTATCACTGGATCAAACAATTCGTACCCTGATTCTACTAGTTTGATCAAAATGAAGGATCGATTTCTGTCGCTTGGCCGTGGAAGGTCTGTGTACGAGACTAATTCTGCCCTCGCCTCCACCCCTCCCCCACCTTAGCCATTGAAGAAGTCCGATATTTTTATTATTTTGAAGGTTTAACTGAATACTTTTCGAATGTCATTTATTGCGGAGTAGGTGGACGCCACACCACCAAAAATTCCAACAGCTATGAGTTCATACAAGAAAACCTTGATATGAAGAGGAATATTACGTTCAATTCTCAAATAAAACAAACAGGGAAATACAAAGGTCAATGCAGTTATTGTGGATCCTCCAATAAGAGACAGAATGGGACCAAACTTTGGGATGAGTTCGCCAATGCCAAGAATAAAACACATGATGGCGGTGCGAAGGAGGCACCGTTTGACACTAAATCCTGTTGGAAAAGAAGACCGAAAAATGACTTAAGTTAGCGTAGGTGTCTAACATTAAAACGCTGTGTGGGTGGGGGGTTTTATGAAAGCAAGACTCCGATAAGGAAAACAGTTTTACACGAAAGAAGAAAGAAAAAAAAAGCTCGTATTTCGCGCTTGGATATATAAGCGTAGCTGTGAACCCTAGAGCTATCTTGATCACATTCCTTGTAAAATATTAGATTCTATGTTGTTTTACGGAATAGCTAGACGTCCATCGCAACCCTTGCTTCCGGCTGAATTTGTGAGATTAACCCTGGGTGTATTTAAACCAACCTTGAGGTATGCTCAAAAACTCCTCAAAAGACTGCGATACTGGGTTTATCACAATAACAAAGCTTAACAGCAGGTGAAGTGTGATCAGTACAAGCACTATGTCTAACATAACAGCAGCCGCGTCATGTCCTTCGTATTTCACGCTCTCGAGAATGTTCGATGTGATGTTCTTGCCGTAAGCCACAAACCGAGGATTGACACAGGCAGATACATGCTTACGACACCAACCTACGCCCAGAACACAGAAATTGGAAACTTGGAGCATTTTTTCATGTCTGTCTGAATCGTTGGAAAGGTTGAAGCGCCACCAAATGAAAATAATATAGTTCCGAAAGCTAAAAGAAAAGGAGAAATTAAAAGAACTCAGCAGCATTGAGGAATGAATATAAGGTTCACTTTAGATAAAACCTACCATCCTCATTTTTCCTGCGAAATTTTAGCCACGCAGTGGATAGCTCTTACTGACGATTAAAATGTTAACATTTCGCGGCACATTCTAGTAAAAAAGTCATGTCATTTTTTTATTACACTGGATAATCTTGTAAGTCGACTTGGCCACACCGAGACCATTGGCAGCCTCTGTTCAGAAATGGATCACAGATGCAGTCAAAACGTGGTAAGAAAAAACAAAAGAGCACATGAAGCGCAGCCGGTTGTGTCACTGATGTTTTTACCACATTTTGATGTCTTCTGTGATCTATTATTGTACAGACCCACAGCAACGTAGAATCGATTTTCTAATTGTAGAGATGACGAAAGGTTGTTAATAATGACGTCATCTATGCGTTTGTCTTCCAACAGAACATAAGTAGTACCAATAAAATGCTTGTATAATTCAGCTTATCGTATAATTTTATATGAGTAGCATATATAATTATATATGATAATAAGTCCACTTAGGAAAACACACCTGAAAAGAAACTCTCGAAGCTTACACTAGGTTGTTCAACAGTATTCAAATCAGACGGCATATCCAATGCGATGCACACGCAGATCATCAAACAAGCCATAGCTGTTGCTACACTAGCACTGACAGCGATCCCTCAGAAGTGCTTGGGCGTTCCCAGCCACGAGTATGGCAGCAGAACAGCAAAACAAATCACGAGCCAAATACGCAATTCGCCGGTTTTCCCAACATCAGCCACGTGCAGATTGACAAGATTTGCCAAGTTTCCCGCCGCCAGGATCAAAAACACTACACACACCCCTAGTCATAATATCAAAACAGTAACGTCAGATAAAACCTAAACATCTCATTGTCCAAGCGTGGATGTTTGTTCCAGATGTAAAAATATTAGTTTCGGAGCCTTATCAAAGACATCGAGGTTGACCAATGTTTCTCATGGTATTGATGCGAAGCTATGTTTTGCTGCACGAGAGTTGAAAAAGAGGATTTAACTCATATTTACCTTTTGATTTACTACCCTTTACAAAAGTGATGGAACCCAGCATTTTTGCTCTCAGGAGAACGTAAGATAAGTGCCATAAGGCAGCACCACCTCCGTTTGAACCCCTTAAATCTAAAGATGCAGGCAATTTTCTTTCTCAGCTGTCACACATTTCTATGCATAAAATTAGTTAAGAGGATTTAGTTTTTCGATCATATTCTCTAACCAATCAGCGAAAGTACTCCTATGTTTCAAGGAGATTTTTTCATGTCAAGAAAACACTCCTGAAAGTCAGAGGGAACTGTTTTGAGTAAGTGTGGAAGATTTCAGGCACGGCGAGAATAATGATGAAGGAAAGGATGGGGCGAAATATTAGCTATAGACTTAATACAATTGAAAGTACAACTGTTATTTCTTTCCTTTGAGACTTGTAGTGCAGAATGAACCTCTTTCGCCAAAATGCAAACGCCGTATAGGGTTAGGGGGTGGGGAAGTAAAGGGATATTGACCGCGATGATATACCTAACATTTGCCCCACAAGACACTGGTATGCCTTAAAATTGTAAGGAGTCACCCGAAAATTTCCTCGGCCTGATTGTGACGCCGTGAAGGCACATCAGAACGATCTTTCGTAGCAGTCACCTGCATTTTAGTGAATGACACTGGATTCTCTAGAGATTATCAACCTGCTTATAAGTTGTCCTGTAGGGATGATGAGCACAAAAACGTCGGTGATTTCTCTTTCGCGCGGGATGCTTATGCAAATCAAGTCACAACCTCGGTCCTGTTTCTCAGGGAGGAGAGGTCCTGGGAACGAAGCAAAGCGGAGTTCAAAATGGCTATTTGATTGCTAAACCTGAAATGAACTGTCTCACACGACTCTTTAAGTAAGTAACATATTTAGAAGTGGGAACCCAAAAGCAATTTTTAGAAAATTCACTTGGGGCATTAGACTCAAAAATAATCGAGCAAGCAGACGTCATCTTCGTGAATCACATCATGTAAAATAGAGTAAATACTCAAGGCCTAGGTGGAGGAAACACTTTAAAAACTCACTGCCTCGCATGTATGTATTATAATAAAGCAATTATTGATTGATAACCCTGCAGCGAAGGATGATGCATGTGTTCAGTCCCTTGGAAGCGTCTCCTGTTGCTCCCTAAAAGTTTCCTGGCACCCGCTTCCGTGTTCAATTTCTAAATTTAAAAATCTCTAGTTAATCAATAAGCATTTCATTTCAATGTTATTTTCAGTACTGTATCGATCAGTGTGATGTTGATGCAGACAGTCACAGCCAATGATGCTCATCTTCCATAAGCATTTTCTCCGATTGCTGGGTACGGGGACCGTACGTGTCCGTTGTACTCGCTATGCCTCTTAAGAAGAGTCGCCCACGATCTCCCAAGAACCGTTCCACATGATAGACATGACAGCGTAACTTGTTTTCGTCACGCAATCTTCATAAATTACATGTATTTGACAAGTGCCTGATAAGTGCTTGAAATTAACACAATCTTTTCTGTTGACAGGAGAATGACTTTGACACAAGAGATTGGACTGAGAGATGTTTTGATACCATTGGAATGCGTAATCCATTTGAACTCAGAGCTGAAGATCTCCCAGAGCAGCCAAACTACTTCACTTGTGCCTTCAGAAAAGACAAACTTGACAAGTACGTTTTCTTTGTTAACCATCAGGATTATGGTTAACAAATGGTTATGGTTAACCGTGATGATTTCTTCAAAAGTGCTCAGCGAAGCAGAATTGTAAGTGATTCCTGTAACACAGGATGTTTACTTTGA